AGTTATTATTGATTATTTTTTAAATAATATTATGAATGAACCGTCTTGTTGTTATATCTCAAGATGTTGTTATTGCTCAGACTCGGCTCAGAGAGCTCAGAGATGATAGCAAATAAGTAAAGCTAACGTCAGCAGCCATGGCACTGGACGAGCAATCGTTATTATAATCCAAACGGGCAAACAGTCTAAGTTATTATGCAAGTTGACTCGAGATATAAAAAATGCAAAACTGCTAAAAGTCTATTTGTCATCCGTCACCGTGACAGCAAGTGGACTTTTGAAACTGGAATAATGATTGGATTAGGCATTTCAATTGGCAAGAGAGGAATAAGACGGATGGAACTTTCTTGGCAAGGAGGATTGTGTGCATCACAGTCAGGTACAAGGGAGAAGGCTTCTTACATTAGGTAAGACAAAAAGTTTAATTTTCACAACTTGTTTATCGACTTAGCAATTTGCTGTGGAATATGTGCCGGTCGGGTCTGTGTCTTCCAGTTCGGGTTCGGGTCCATCTTTCAAATAATTCGGTTCCGGGTAGTGCATTTTTGACATTTCTCGGTTCTGCACGGGCCTGGGTCCAACTTTCAAAATAATAGAAAGGTCCGGGTCGGTTCAGTGTAGCACATTTACGGGTCTCTTCGGGTTGGGGTTCGAATTTTTGGACCCGTGTAGACCTCTACTGCCATTCCACAAAAATACTGCAAGATGAGTGCCACGCCCACATTTCACAAACCAATCAACAACCAACGGATTGACCCAAATCCCGCCCTACATTTCTTTCCATGATCTGTCACGCTCGGCTGTACGTCCCAATATGGAAGAAAATCTCTGTCGCTACTTTTGTCCTATGGCAACTTTAAAAGCTCATCAGCAGCTCACTGCAGTGCAATAACTCACACAAATGAAATCATTCATAATTCAAAAAATTTTTTTGGTGTTGGCACATGACCGATCAACTCAGTCCCCAGTGAGTCTGCAGTCTTCATCCTGAGGGGAGAAATGCTTAATCAGGAGTTCTTATTGAAGAGAAGAGTTCTCGTGTATTGAAGAGATTGCATTGTCTCATGCATGCTTTTCTGTGTCTAACCTCTTTAGACATGGTCAGACTGAAAATGTCTGTCGCTGATGGTGAAGGTTGTAAACTCATGCGTCTGTATGCGTCATTTTTTATTTATTTATTTATATTAGTGTTATATTACATCCCTACTGTGTTATTCCTATGTATGTCTGCACTATGTTTGTACTTTCTTCTACACTGGAAGCTCCTGTCGTCAAGTCAAATTCCTTGTGTGTGTGTGTAAACATACTTGGTAATAAAGCTCTTCTGATTCTGTATGCAGGTCTTTGTCGGCCCTCGTCAGGGCCCGGTCTAATTCAGGATGGCGTATGTTGGGACGCAGCTGGGTGTATCGGTCCTAGTCTTATTCTGCACTATGGCGCCGTCTCCTGGCCAGGCATATATATATGCTGTAAGTGTCTGGTTTTAGGCTTTTATTCATTTATAGATGCTTTTATGATATTGGGCTACACACGGTACCTTTCAGCAGTCAGTGTAAATTTTATGATGTAGGGTTTGATTGCTTTGCACTATGCAGTTGCTAATGGCCTCTTTTCTATTCTGTGCAGCATTACAGTAACATGACCTCCATGCTGTTTGAAGATCTGCCCGCTCTCTTTGGCCCTCCTCTGCCAAAAGATGGACTCATGGTAATGAATCTCTGCTGCTGGACTCGTAGGTTTGCCCAGTGAATACAGTACTGGATGTGAGTGACTGACTTGTCTGTCTTCTGCTCTCTCTCCCAGGGTGTGCTGGTAGAAGCTCGTCCTCAGAATGCCTGCATGCCTATAGATCCTCCTCCAGTTTCTCCCACACCCTCCGATCCCAACAGCACTACAAAATACATTGTCCTCATTCGACGCTATGACTGTAACTTTGATATCAAGGTTAATGTTCTCGCACAGCTGCGCTATTTCAGTAGATTCCAAAATATGGGCTATAAAAGTAATATGGTCGACTGACAAGAATATATATAAAACTAAAAGCATGTGACAATAGACAATGCACCCTTGTGAAAAAGAAGTACACTTCAGCATACTGTCAAAAAATACTTATGACTATATACTTAGTACTTAATATGGAAATAATATGCTTTAAAAGAATATATTTAAGTGTGAAGTAAATGTAATGTTTTGCATTTCTGACCCACTTAAATAGGACTTCGGTACATCTTTATATGTAATTTTTATAATTCTATTGTCTTTGAAATATGGTCACAGTGCAAACATTTGTGGTAAACTAAAATGTACTTCGCGATTTCTATTGAAACTTGTTTGTCATGCACTTAAATATATTTGTAATTATACATTTGTGATGATAAAGTCACAAACAGTCCATTTAAAATATATTAACTTTAAATGTAACGTCAAGTTTAGTCAAATCAAAATAAGTGTACTCCTTTGAAGCATGACAAAAAATGATTAAAGCATAATGATTATAAAGTATGCTTAAAAAGCAAAACTTTTAATTTGACATTATTACAAAGTGCAATGTTTAAGTGCACTTAACTGCGTAAAGAAACATGAAAGTGTTTCTCATTAAGTACACTTAGGCAGCCTTTTAATGCATTAATATATAATCTGCAAGTATTTTTATTTTTTTTGAAGTACACTAAGTGCACATTCAATACAATGAAGCACACTTCTTTTTCACAAGGGCATGTTAACCGGTGTCAAGGCTAGCAAAAGGTCAGAGACTTATATGGCCACAGATATGCTTAGTGTGCATTGTGCAATGAATAACAGAATATGTGAGGAATACTGTTTTTGTTTTTTAATCTTATAGGTGCTCCATGCGCAGCAGGCCGGTTTCAGTGCAGCCATAGTTCACAACATGTACTCTAATTCACTTCTCAGTATGGGATACAGCAATGGTGAGACACACACACACACACACACACACTGCTTCTGCTGTTTCG